AATCTCCAAAAGTTAGCTTTTAGTCTTTGAAAGAGCCTGGCTAGCCAACTAGTCCACATCTCCCCCTACGTAAGTCAAACCCCTAGTCAAATAATTCATGGAATGATGCCAGGTTTTGGTTTAACCACTTCTTAATCTATTTTGCAACCTGATCTAAAGTCAGTGGACATTTCAAGAAAGGCGATGGCTCCACATGTGTAACACGTGTCCTAGCCATTTCAATCAATGTGGACTCACCACCTCAGAGATTGACTTACCCTTCTTAAGTAAAGCTATACACCGAACCTTAATTAATATATCATTCTCAATATTATACCGTATTCATGCAGGCTGAAGAGTCGGCTGTTCATGAGTACGTACGTGTGGTGAGAACTTCCACATTGGGACGAAAACAGCAGCTGTCCAGTACACCCTGGTTCTACATCCATTGTGAGGCTAGTAACCCCTACCTGTAAAAACAACAACAGTGCTGCTCCTCCTAAAACTTCAAAGTTTAGTTAGAATCAGAAATCGGTATGATGCACGTATTTTGTAGTTGACATTAGACGAAGAATGGAATTCATAGTGTAATTAAGTATAAGAATAATATTGATTATAATTCTACTAGTGGTCATAATTTCAATTTATCATAGTGTACACTATAAAAACATTTTCTTAAATAATATTGTGAAATCGTTAGTAATAATAATGTGTGATTATTATTATATTATTTTATCCTTTAGTTCCTAGAGGAACATAGGGCTTCAGCTGCGCACCTCCATTGCTTTCTGTTTTCTGCCAACTTTTTCACCCCGCTCCAAGTCTGCCCACATGCTTTCATCTCCTCCTCGCATGACCTCCTCCAAGTCACCCTTGAACGACCAACTCGCCGCTTCCCTTTCACGTTCCACTCGAGGGCTTGTCTAATGATGTCACTTGATGGTTTGTTTCCTCAGAGTATGGCCAATCCATCTCCATATCTTCCTGCCTATTTGTTTCACAATCGGTTCCTGGTTGGTTCGCTTATTGCTGGAGATCCCTGTTGCTGATCTTTTCTGGCCGGCCATCTGATCTTGAGCGGAGTATTGAGCGAAGACAACTGTTGATGAAGGTTTGTAGTTTGTTTGAGGTGCTCTTGATGACGCGTTAAGTCTCTGATCCATATAGTAGCACTGAATGACTTCACATTGGAGTTGAAAATCCGGATCTTATCTTAGGATGATGCGGCTTAGTATTTTGCTTGGGATGGACAGGAGCATAATTCCGCACCAGTTTTTGCATTGACTTCAGTCTCCTTTCTTTGGCAGTTTGAATAAGTATCCTTTTTTCCAATCCTCGGGTACTTTACCCTCTTTCCACACCTTCTTCAGCAGTGGCGTCATCAAGTCCACTGTTGTCTCTGGGTTCATTTTCAATGCTTCTGCTGGGATTCCATCTGGTCCCGGTGCTTTCTTAGCTTTAAGCATCTTGATTGCATTCAGGACTTCTGATTTCGTCGGGGGGTCAGTGTTCACTGGTAGTTCTGCTTCCGTTGTTGGTATTGTTGGGTGCGTTGTAGGTTGCGGTCGATTTAGAAGTCTTTTGAAGTGTTCAGTCCAGTATTTCCTTTGTTCCACCTCTTTGGTGACTGACTTTCCATTGTCATCCTTTACTGGCTTAATCTGTGTCGAACTTTTGCCCGATAGGTGCCTAGTTGTTTGGTAGAGTGTGGCGAGGTCTCCTTTGTCTGCAGCTTGTTCTGCTTCACTTTCCATAGTTTCATAATATTTTCTTTTGTCTTCCCTGGCACTCTTCTTTACTCTTTTGTTCAGAGTATATATATATATATATATATATATACGGTTGATCACGAACTGACGTCAGTTAGAGAACCATTGGGAGACAAGCAGGTAGATCTTGACAGCTATTCCGTCCTAGTTTGGGACTCTTTATCGGTCCTTAACCATGGAAGTTCGAACCCAGAGCTTTTAGATTATGAGGCTAGTTCGTAGACCATTGAGACACTGGGAGTTGATCTAGTGGTCCATGAGTTCCAACTACTGCCAATTTGTGATGTTTAGTGCGAATGTCGTGTGTTCGAATCCTGATGGCACCATGGCTGGATAACCCTGGAGACTATCAAGCTAGAATGAAACAGCTGTCAAGTACTGTCTTCTGGGTTCTCAATGGCTCTTTAAATGATGTCATCCCATGACCGATTGCGCAATCAGTCATATCTCTGCAAACAAAATCCTTCGATTGCTGAATATATCTCTGCGAGCCTTGATAAAAATATTCTTCCTATTGGAAGTATTTGATTCTGTACCATTCCACTTTGAAATAACATACTCTAGCAATAGTGTTATTCAAGTCATACCTGAGAGCCATGTTAAACTTATCGATAACCATAAGTAGAATAGAGAATACAATGTCTGTCTGTCTGTATGTATGTATGTTTTCGACATAGAACTTTGCACTGATGTGCGGAAGTTCAAGTAGCCACACTTCATGTAGCACACAAACCAAGAGAAGAAAGTACAAGAAAAGCATAACAGAGACAGTAAGCAGAGGTGTGAGACAAAGGAAGAGTAATAACGAAGAACAAAACAGTTTCATTGGAAATCATAAGTCACAAGGAGTGAATGTATCTGCGCCACTGAGAACGATTTTGAGCCACATCACCAATTGTTTCCAGCCTTCATTGGTTTTTACCGTCCCGAGGACCCCAACCAGCAAGTCTACACCTGCCTACGTGGCTTAGACTAACTGTTGTAGATTTCATTGACTGGTGATATGTTTTGGTTTGATCACCGCTAGCTCTTTTCCAGCCTGACCCTATATCCGCTAACATTGCTCGTCGAGGATGCCGAAGACTAGGTATACGTAACACATGTCCTAACCATCTCAATCGGTGTAACTTCACAGCCTCGTCGATTGACTTCCCATGTTTACCTAGCACTCAACTGAGGCCTAACCTCAATATTACTCACCTTATTGTACCACTTCACACGGGAGATAGAACGCAGGCAACTATGATCGAAGACAGCTAATCTTTTCACGTCTTCCACTCTCAATGGCCAGGTCTCACAGCTAGCCACAAAGGAGGACGTAGCGGACTGCTGAGCGGTATTCACGCCCTTTGGTCGACAGCCAGTCGGATATCACGTCTACGCCAGAGGCGGCGTAAACTGGCATATGCGAAACTAGCCCTCAGTATCCGTGTTGAGATCTCGTCAGAGATCAACCCCTTTGGGGCTGATATAATAAGCAACCAACGTGTATTTTCCTTATTTTTCTTGATATTAGTCGACACCTGTGGTTTCGTACTACTCATGAGCATATTCAAGTAGTATGTGACGCCATATCTGCAAGTAAGTGATGATTTTCTGCGTACTGGGTAGAGATTGAGTAAAGATAAATATGGGAGCAAAATAAGCCGATAGACAGACTTAGAAATCACAGAATATTTTGTCTTCTTTATAGAAAATAAATGTTTATTTTCAATGCTCCAGGTTGAATCCAAAGGGACTTATTGAGTGCTAGGGAATTTAATCAAATTTCACTCTGCCATATTTCCTTAGCAAGGTACTGTATCACTGACTGTCCCACAGTAAATTTGCTTCATTGTCAAGCGCATATAAAATTAAGTGAATGAAAGCCGAAATATCCGTAGACAATGAGTTGATTAGATAGAAGCTAGATGCTGTTGACCTTTTTCATCAATTTAGATTGAACTATCGCCTTTGACTGATTGAAGAAGGAGTGATATTCAATAAACAATCACATTTTCACACTGTTAACATTAGGGCAGCAATGACACTGCTTAAATGGCCTAACTCCAGTAGTTGGGGCCCGATTTTGAACCTGTAACCTAGTGCTTGAATGTTGACCACCTAGACTAGTTATCCAAATCTTCACGACTGCCTTATCTGTTTCAACGAATTTCTAATTTTATTGTATTATTAAAGCTTGATTCCACACACAGTATTTTGATACAGGCATAGAATTTTCAGCATGTGATATTGGTAACCCAAATTTTTAACAGGCCGACCATTGATATCAGGTGTGCGTCAGCTGGGGATCGAACCTCGAACCATGTGCATGGTTGGCGAGCGTTCCAACCTCTGTGCTACCGACGCACAAATCAATAAAACCCCTGCAAAATTAACACTTGCAAACTAATCTAGATCTCTTCAGTGACTGGAGGATAGAAATTCCCGGATTGCTAGTTAGAACTCGTGCCAGGTGTGTATGTGTGTGGACTGGCACTTGTCGATGACATTAGCTGACGTTTAGAATTCATGAGTTGGCCATGTGGTTTGGTCCAACAGCTACCTTGTCAACCCTCTTCTGTAGTACTCTGAAGGTCCTGAATCCGGTCTCCTGCCGAGTGGGGTAAGTTCCAACTAGGCTGAAACAGATTGTCTTTCAGTGGTTCTCTGAATAATGCCATTTTTCGAAAGTTAATTTTTAAGGAATTTGATTTGTTCCAAGTTCGATTACGCATTAATGTCGATTAAAGAACCACTGGAAATCGACAGAGGAGGTACTGGACTAAGGACCGTCAGATTACGAGACCAAGCTCATTGACTATTTAGCCAATTCAATGATTTGTTAATTCTTACTCTGTCAACTCGTTATATGGCTCAGGCGCCAGGTCACTGATGGCTGCTGGATGAATTTCCTGAAGCTGCAGTGTTGACAGAGTTAGAATTCTTTGGTCAAAATGGCTGAAATCGTCAGCTAGCTAGCTTGGTCTCGTCACCTTAAAGGCGCCAAGCTCGGTCCCTTATAAGGTGGTCGTAGGCGCTCATCTCTGAATACTCCCGAGATAGGACTAAATAGCTCTCCAGGTTTTCAATGATCTCTTTAACTGGTGTTTTTGGTTCGTGATGAAAATACAACATTTGAAATTAATCCGATATCTTCATAAATTCTATAATCCTATTATTATTATTGTTGTTACGCAACCAGTTGGAGTGAATGCAACCTTTGTCTAGTTATGTAATCACTTTCATTTCTTTTTATTTATTCATTTCTAGAGTACAGCTAATGTCGCAGTACATGATTTCACTGTACACCCAACAATTAACACCAATGAAAGTATAACAAATGTAGATGGAATCACTGGGAATATTCCTTTAACAGATAATACCCTCCCTGTTAATCAATCAAATCTTCCAATTATTAGTGGTGGATCAATAATTGCATCAAATTCACCTGTTATTAATCTTAGTGGTACCGGTATTGTTTCCAATACAATAGCAGCAGCACCACCAGCAGCAGCAACAACAACAACAGCAACATCGATCGTCGCACCTGCTACAGTTGTAGGTTCTGGTATAACAAGATTACAACCATTGCATTCAATGTCTGAGGTATGGTCTGCTTTTCAATGGATTTCTTTTTCGTGTTTGATTTCATACATTTATTCCCCTTAATTAATTTGAACAAAGCAAAAACTACAGTTGTGGTAGAATAAATTGGTACCATCATTTCGTTATTTCGTTGGCTTCTCATCAGCTGCTTACAGGCTAAAAGCATTATTAGATATATCTACAGAAAGAATTTCAACATACTTGCACAGATTTCATCTTTAAACAAAAATCTATCGATCAATATATGCATACAGTAATAATATATATATATATATATATATATGTAATATTAAACACTTTTCCGAATAATAATAATCATACACAACGGAAACTTTTCAGCATTATGCATTCAGATGAAAAAGAGGGTGAAAATATCCAGTTATGCGGGCAAAGAAAGACTGATAACCGCTTCTTTCTGGACGCATTAATCAGGTTTCAGACGCTTGATGGAAACGGCTTCAGCAAACTTGAGGAGAATTGAGCTCTTTTGCCTATTGATAATTTTGAACGTTTTTTCGACGTTCACTGTGTTAACGAGATGCCTGGCGATGGCACTGGTTAAACCATCTGTTCCCTTTGCTAGATGTTCAGAAAATCGTAGATATGCCCTTCTTTCTGTTCTTCCATTGTAATCGTTTTTCTGAAAAAAAAAGTTTTAGATCAGATGACGAGTTGACACTAGGGCAGAAAACGTTTGAAATCCCAGTCGAGGGAGTATTGAACAACTTTTTTTTTCCTCTTAATCCAGGACTGTTCAGTCAATAGTAGAAGTTAGGAGTCATCGATTCCATATCATCGAGCTAACCACATCACCTTGAAAGTTTTGTGTTCGGGTACCTGGTGACGAAGAGGTCATGTGTGCTAACTGATGATGAACTTACTTACTTTACTTTACTTCGGCTATCTCCTACGGGAGGATGAGCCGGCTTCATGAACCATGAAGTTTCATGGGAATTGGGTGCGAGTGATGTCCCCAGCATCGCTCGGCCTTTTGTTTGAGAGTGCAGCTCTAGCCTTTACACAACCAAATGTGACCTACAAGGCAGTAGGAGTGGAGTAGGGAGTCCACTATCCATTGGAAGCCAGCCGGTGACCGGAATCCGGTTCATACGCCTTTTTGAATGGGGCCAGACATCCAGGACATCCAACAAGCCCTTTGTCCATACGTCTGCCGGTGAGCTCCGATGAGCTTCATACGCCAGTCGTTGGAGGTTTGGAATCAGGGTTTAGCCATCTCCCCTAGACTGTCATCCAATGGACAGTCAACCCGGTGAAGAGCGCCGGGCATCCGCTTTTGCCCTCTCACTTTGGTCAAAAACACCTCCGCCACGTGAAGGCAGTGAGTAGGACGTCCTCAGGAGAGGCTATGTAGGACGCTCGGTCATATGGGAGCATTTCAAGAGGTGTGCGGAGGGGTGTCCAACCCGCAGCGCAAGACACCCACCCCCGACCATCCTGAGGCTGTTCATAGTGAACCTTATTACACAATCGGTAGTAATATGCAGTATCAAGCGACACCGAAGTAATAAACGATACTGAAACAGTTGTTTGGGTGGTAATGTTTGATCTGTTGTTTCACTAATTAAGTAATATAATCCAAAGGTCCGCGTAGTATATATTTTAATAATTTTTTCGCCATTGTATTAATATATGTGTGTAAAACTTGGTCACTGCTGTAGTAAGTAATTCCATAATAGTTTGTTTATTAGATGTACCACACACCGAAACAGTAGTATTACTGTTTACTGGATGACCAGGTTTCGAATACAATTTACTACTGTTCATAAACATATCATTAATTATAATCACACGACTTTGAAACTTGAGTTTTATAGTTTTCTTTGTTCTCTCCTAATTGTCGTAGGAATAATAATAATTATTATAATAATGGTAGTATTAATGATGACATGCATGTCAAACATGCGCAAGATAGTGACAACACCAACAGTGAGGTATCTAAATCCTCAGTAGTGCTTCCTTGCAAGGAAGGAACCTCAGAAACCACCTTACGCAGAATTCTTAACAAGGCTAGCAGGAATAAAAGTGGCTGCTGGCATTCAAACCAACCACAAACTCAATTAGAAACAAGCTTTGTCGGTTGAAGGATCAGTCCTGTGGAGCGGTTGAAACAAAGTAATTCTGTTTATCTAATACTCTGCATGCAATGATAGTCAGGTCAAATGCGTAAATCAAAGTAGTAGAACAGGTTCAATCAGACTAGCGGAGCATAAAAACCTAGCAACAAAATCTAGATTGGTTGACACGAATAAAATAAGAAATCTAGAGAATAATTCAGCTATAGCACTCACTACATGGAATTACACACAACACAACCATACAACAGGATGGGATGGAATAAGATGACAGTTTTAAAATATAATGTCACAGGGTGAAGGGAGGGAGAGATTGATGAAAGCAGAAGCTTTGTTTATCGAATCAACTGCAAATAGGTGTGTAATAGGAATAATTCAACACCTGTCCCGGATATTTGGGAAATTCTACTACCCTTACGACAATTAGGAGAGAACAGAGAAAACTATAAAACTGAAGTTTCGAAGTCGTGTGATTATAGTTGATGGAATGATTGTGGACAGTTATCAATTTTGTTCGAAACCTGGTCATCATCCAGTGAACCGTAATACTGTTTCACTTACTGTGTGATACATCTAATAAACAAATTAATATGGAATTTCTCCAGTTTAGTTTAGTCAGTCCCGGTTGAGAATGTGAATGTGGATTTCCTGTCCTACTACTACTACTGTATAGCTGTTATGAAACTTCTTTGAGTCACTCACAGTCATGAAACTCTCTAAAGACATCAAAAAAAAAAGATTTTTCGTGGCTGGAGTCGGTAATAATAATAATAATAAGATCAATAATAGCATCCAAAAACTCAAAATTACCTCAACAGTGCCATAATATTGTTTTACTACATACAAGAGGACTTTCTAGTACAAAACAAGTACTGTAGAACAAAATTTGTTAACGACAATTGAACCATGAGAAGTATCTGAGAATCGAGTAGAATAAATCCAACTTGATGGGATCAAAAACTCTGTCTATAAGAATTGCTCACTAACAACACCTCGAGACAGTGGATGGTTAGAATGGCCTTTAGTCACACAAACAATTCAGCATCATCATCATCATCATCGTCACACAAGAACCACAAAGAGAAGCATTAAAATTAGATATTCAACGAGTACAAAGACAAATAATAGGGGGATAAGTCAACATACGATATACAAATGTCAGAACGATGATATAAAATCTATGAGAAAAAAGCATAATAATAATAATAATTGCACAGTTATTCAGGTATTGGTTTATAGAGATTCGATTGATTGGTTACAGGATTTCATCAAGAGCTGACATCGCTTAGAGAACCATTGGAAAACCAGCCAAGGAGTACTGGACATCTGTGTTCGTCAGCTTGGTTTGGGACGCACCAACCTCCAGAGTTCAAACCCAGAACCTTCCAGTTACAAGGCCAGCGAGCTAGTTCGTAGACCACTCATTCAGCCACTGAGACCCGATCCAATGGCCAGCCAACCTATGAATTCTACGTTCTGCCAATTCATGACATAGCGCGACTGGCACTAGCCAATGTCATCGGTGATGCGTATTTGTCCTTACACCTGACCTGCTGCACCTTAATGGTCACGACTTCTCAATAGAACCCCAAGTATTGGTTTTTGTAGGGATTTGTTTGATTTGTTACAGGATTTCATCGTGAGCTGACATCGGTGTCTACGTACTGATGAAGAGTCCCAAACTAGGACGAAACAGCTGCCCAGTACACCCAGCTGGTTTTCCAATAGTTCTCTTACAGATATCAGCTCATGATGTAATCCTGTAACCAATAACACAGTTAGTAGAAGCATCTAAATACGTATCAGTATAGTAATTAGATGATTCCCAAGGGATTTTCCAATCAATTATTCAATTACAGTAAGGACTTATTATTTTATCCAGTCGCCTAGTTAGACTGGGGAGTAGGTGAAGAAGGAGGGATTTGAAAACACTGCCCTGTTGGCTTAAAATCGAGTATTCAGTTTAACGAGACACATCTCTACAATCGATTCGTCAGTAGAAAAAAGATAAGCCATAATATAAGTTACTTTTACTATAGATGCTTATGTATATGGACGGAAACAAACCAAATGGGTAAGCCAATAAGCATAAAGCATTGTTTATTAGGGTTGTTTTGACATGGAAACGCTTTTAAATATTCTCTATCTAATAGCTGAATCAAAAATTTCTTTCTCGTATCAATGGAATAATCTCTTACTCACTCAGAGAGTAAACAAGCCAGGTATAATCCCATATTAGTTTGTTTATTAGATGTATCTATCACACAGTGGATTGAAACAGTATTATTGTTCACTGGATGATGACCAGGTTTCGAACAAAATTGATAACTGTTCATAATCATTTCATCAATTATAATCACACGACTTTGAAACTTGAGTCTTATCGTTTTCTTTATTCTCTCCTATTTGTCCTTATAGGGGAAGTAGAATTTTCCAGATCTCTTGGTGGACAGGTGTTGAATCATTCCTATTACATGTATTTGGAGTTGATTCGATAAACAAAGCTTCTGCTGTCATCAATCTCTCCCTCCATTCACCCTGTGATATTATATTTTAAAACTGCCATAGGCAATGTGTTTGTGTGTGTGTGTGTGTGTGGATGAGCTTAAATGAACTTTCTCAGTAAGAGAAATTGATTTTGCCGCACAAACACACACGTACCCAAGATTAATTCATAGCTCAACAATGATTGCAATACTAGCTTGATCAGTAGATTTCTTTCGACATCGCATTGTGAATATTTCGTTATCAGGTCAGGTTACTGGGTTAATTAGAAATGAATAAATTTAATTAAAGCACGTATATAATCAGTGATTGAAAAAAATATCTGTGAGATCTAGTAATATAGACCGGAAACACTAGAGGAAGGCAGAGAAGTACGCTTTTCACCGTAGATTCAAATTCTCCTACTAGTGATGAATATATTAACATTCTTTTACAGATATCAGTGTTAAGGAAATGTATTAACTTAGAGGGCAACAACAGAAAGGAACCATAGATTTAACCAGTGACCTGGAAGCATCCAATCAGAGATTATATTATTATAAATTATCACTGCCTCCTTTAGTTCCTAGAGGAACATTGGTCTTCAGACGCACATCTCCATTGCGTTCGGTTCTCCGTCAACGTTTTCACCAGCCGCCACATCTGCCCACATGCTTTCATCGCGTCTTCACATCACCTCCTCCTCCATGTCACCCTCACACTGACGACCAACTCACCGCTTCTCATTCGCGTTCCACTCGACCGATAGCCCAGCGTGTGATGTCACTCAATTGATGGTTTGTTTTCTCAGAGTATGGCCACAATCCAACTCCATTTCTTCTTGCATATTTCTTCCGCAGTCGCTTCCTGCTGGGTTGGTTCACACTTAGAGATCCCTCACTGTCTCTGATCTTTTCTGGCTGTCCATTGAGCATTGAGCGAAGACAGCTGTTGATGAAGGTTTGTAGTTTGTTGGAAATGCCTCTAGTGACGTGACGCCAAATCCCTGATCCGCATATAGTATCACTGACTTCATATTGGAGTTGGGTATCCGGATCTTACTTTTCATGCTGAGTAGTGCTGTTGATCCACACACATAAGTGATAGTAATGAAAGCTTGCCTAGCTTTACCGATCAATCCTCGCTTTGATATCCTCATCAGTTTCGTTCACCTGTGGTTGAAACGACGCATCGAAGTTGAAGTATTTTAATCCAGGAGTTTGTTTTACTATCTCAATAACCTCGAAGGGGACCATTCAGAGTTGAGTAGGCTATTTCAAGTAGAATAAATGCTTAATTCATGTCAAAAGCATTTTAAGGAGCATAAAAATGTTAGAAAGATTCTGTACTTACGAAAATAACTTCAATATTCTCATCAGAAAGTAAATTGTGCCACTCCGCAAAAATTACTTTGCCTTTCTGTGATCGGAAAACTCACGGAATCCTTCCAGGAAGTGAAGACAAGAGTAAGACAAGGCTGGCTGGTCGCCTACTATCTCCAATTATTTTCCTGGTTGCGAATGGTAATCTGGATAATGCCACAAACAGACGGCAGCCAGGAAACAAGTATAAAATGGATCCACAGTGAAAACTTGGACTTCACCGATGATATATATCTGATTTCCTACAAACTGGAAGGTACGCAAGTGAAAAGCAACAAGTTGGCCGGAGAAGCATGAAAGATAGAACTTCAGGTGAACACAGAGAAAGCAGAGGTGATTATGAAGATTCCTGGCCAACAGCAACAGCAACAACCGCAACAACAGACAACAACCAGCAGAAATTGGAGAAATCTGAAAGAAGAAACCTCCTTCACCTACCTGGAAGCATTGTTTCAACTACAGGCGGACGGAACTGATGAGGATATGAAGGAGAGGATCGATCGGGAAAGCAAGGCAAGTCTATGTGGAGGCCAACAGCACTCAGGATAAAAATGAAAATAAGACCGTGTCACGAAGGCCACTTCGAACAAACTACAGACTTTCACAAACAGCTGTCGTTGCTCAGTACTACTCAAGATCAGATGGCCAGTCAGAAAAGATCAGCAACAGGTATCTCTGGGGGTGAACATACCAACCCAGCAGGAACGAATTGTGCAACAAATCTGCAAGAGGAAACTGAGGTGGATTGTGACCATACTCTGAGAAAGCAAACCATAAAGTGAGTGACATTACACTTCATGTCATCACTCGATCGGAACTCGGATAAGAAGTGACAAGTTGGTCGTCAGTGCGAGGATGACATGGAGGAGGAGGAGGTGATGTGAAGAAGCTTGGCTGGCTGGTTCCATACTGAAGATCAAATAGCCAGAAGGAATCAGTAGCAAGAAACTGTGGGAACAAACAAGAAACAAGCGAGAGACGATCGCCCAACAAATATGTAGGCGAAAATGCAGATGGATTGATTGGGCATACATAGAGGAGGCTACTGAATGACATCACGCGCCAGCCAGGCCATAGCTCGAGTGGAATTCAAATGAGAAGCGACTAGTGGATTGTCAGTGCGATGGTGACATGCAGTAGTTCGTGTTAGGAAGAGATGAGAGATTTTCAGGCAATTGTGGACCCAGCTGAAGAGGATGGGAGAAAATAGAAGAAAGTGGTGATGTGTTGTTGAAGTCCTATATTCCACTCGTAAACCCAATGGGACAAGAACAGTAGTGATAACTGGAAATATTCACTTCTAAGGGATTGGCGGTGTTTCCACAAGTAAGCATACTGTTATGTACTCGTCGCTAAGTTATTGTTATGGACTGGTCGAGAAACTAATAGTCCTGACGCGAGAAGGCGGAAATCAGAAGACCACTAGGTTTGCGATGATACTTCTATATTCCAAACACAAGGAGACGAAAATAAATGGTCTCACACCAAAGTGGTAAGTAAGTAAAGCAGTTGTAAAGTAAAGTAGTTCACACAAATTGTGAATGCGAATATATATAAATAATTCAGACAAGCGTGGGAAAAATCATTAGACAGTCTTAACATGAATGGCTAATTATAATGGAGTGTCGATCCAATTATACATAGCGAATATGGCAGACATGCCAACAAACATATATGGATATATGTCACCAAGCAACGGACTGTCAACAAACACTCATATTATATATAATATAATATAAGGAGAATACACATTATTAAAGGAGACAAGTCCATACAAGTGAAGTGGTCACAGACTAACCGAGCAAACAGAAAGAGAGACCAACATGCACACACACACATAAATATATATATGTGGATACATATCACATACCAAATTTCTGATTTTTTATAGATTTAGTTTTTTCAGTGTACAATTTAGACCATATCGATGTATTTATTGTTTTTTTCATTTCTAGAATGTCAGTCTACGACGTACCACTTCCGATGCAAGCTTAGAATCACGTTCTACCTCTGCCTATGGTGTAGATCCTAGTTATGCTGGTGTTGATATATTGGATGATGAAATGAAGGCTGATATTCAAATGCTTGTCCGTAAAGAAATGTCTAGACCACAGTATAAAAAAGATTTTTTCTATACTGGTCCAATACGTCAAATTGATCCGGTAAATAAATTATCTAGCGCCAATCATAAATTAAGTATTAATCTGCCTATAATCCCAGCAGTAGTAGCAGCAGCAGCAACAACAACAACAACAGACAGACCAAATCGTTCCTCGACATCATTTCGCCTACCGCCTGCTATCTTACCACAGGATGGTAAACAAGAGGTATGTTGTCAATTTGTAGTTATATATAGATATATATATAGTTATTATTATAATTCCCTGCCGTCCTCTCCAGCTGGGTCCACGATTGACCAAACTCTTCCACCTCTTCCTCACACAATCTCCCCCATGTCACCCTAGGATGACCCACTCATCGCATCTCATTTAGATTCCACTCAAGGGCTTGACGTACGATGTCGTTCGTTTGGCGGCTTCCTCAATGTATGCCCAATCAGTCCATCTCCACTTTCTCCCACATATTTGTCGAGTGGTTGACTCTTGGTTGGCTTGTTCCCCCCCCCAGCCAGAATTTCTTGTTACTGATTCTTTCTGACCTGCTATTTGATCTTCACTATGGAGCAAGTAAGTGGGGCTAGCTGTCGATAAAAGTCCTCAGTGGCCCACTGGAAATCCTTTTCATGACGGGTGCACAGTGCAAATTTCTGACCCGTATGGAAGGACCGACTTGACATTGGGTGTTAAGAATGAGAAACTTGTTCTCTTATGCTGATTTAGTGCAGAAGATTTCCAAACTGGTTACAGGTTGATAAAGGCGTATCTTGCCTTTCTGATTCTGGCTGGCTTTCACATTTACCTTCATTTTGTTTGTTTGTGGTTGAAACGGTGCTTCCTAGATATGTGAAGGAGTAGACCTCTGATAAATCTCTTCTGTTGAATGATGTCGGTCTTTGTTGCTGTTCGTTGGTTATCTTCAACACCTCCGTTTTTGTATCTTCCACTTTCAATGACCTTGCCTCACAGCCAGCCAACCATAAAGGAGGACGGAGAGAACTGCTGAGTAGTACACGCATCCTATGGTCGACAGCCGAATATATATATATATTATATATATATATATATAATTCCTCCTTCGTTTGCAGAGCTTCTATTTCATTATCTGGATGGCTAGAGTCTCATCAATCCAAAGGGGTAAAAAACATCTGGTATCTGACAGATTGCACTTCACCCTATAAATTACTTTGAAGGAGACATTTGTGGAGATGAAACACTCAGTGTCGATAAAGTATTCCATTCAGATAAAGTATAATTATATTTTTATAGTTTACCCACAATGATAAGTTTTGTTATCCATTCAGGTTTATTTTTTTGCAAACTTAATTGAACTACTTAATAGTAATATAATAATTATAACAAAGAAACACTTGTTATTTGTAGATTACCTAATAAAACCGTAAATTTCCTGTAGCACTGTTTGGTTTTTTACTCCATTAAAAGGAGTAGATAACGCAAACTGAACATTGGACGAGGCGTGGCCGTACAGCATGGATAAGATTCAGCCATCATCAAGGTGTCCGTGCTAGAAGCCGCCATGTTAACAGAGGTCAAACATTTCCTTAAATTTGATCGAGATAGTCAAAAACTGACGTATATAAGTAATGACTACTGTTCTTTGCACAGGAGGTCCAGGTCATCTGCTGGGTAACGTTTCGACGTTTGGAAGGATGAGTTTCTAGGATTGAGTCTCATTGAGAACTGTAACACTCACTTCATTGGTTGATTCTTAGCATCTTTCAGGATCTGTCAATATTTCCCTACTATAAATGTGATGTATTAACTCCTGAAGATCGGGTTTTCTGCTGTTGGGTAGCGGGTTCGAGTCCCACTCCACTTAAATCAGCCTGTGTAGGCAACTAGATGCTGTCATAATGCATCATACGATAAGTATCACTCCTACTCTGCTGTATGAAAAGTCTCTTCTAGATAAATGAGCTTAAACTTAAGCACCTCCCTGAATAGTTCAAAACCCGGCCTAGTTCACAAGCTCCCTCCTTCTACAGCGAATCCAAAGCTCAAGAAAAGAGGAAAGGTTTAGCGTGGGGCTAGTGATCCTCTTCGGAAAATCAATAGAATCGCTACAGAAAATTCAATGCTGATATGATGTGAGTCGATCGGTAGTTGATGCGATCTAGTGGACTTAAACACTGTGCATTATATCACTAGACTCAATGGACAACTTACCTGGTACCTTTCTAAGTTATGCACCAAGTTATGCATCTACCAAAGGACAAAAACAGCTCTATGACTGTTAGGATAAGGAAGTTTACAAGGGAAAAATGCATCACATTTATGCATTTCTCACCGCATTAAATCTGACTAAGTCAGTAGGATATAGATTGTTCTGATTGGTGACGATTGACCAAAGATTAGACAATGAGGTGAGAAAGTTATACATTGAGTTTCAAGGTTAAGTGAAAAGATTATCATATCCATGTGATGAACCCTGCAACCATTGGCTTAGGATATTGGTTCCATTTCTGGCCACTTCCTATGTATCCATTTCAACTCATGTATGACATATTTAATTCAATTTTAGATCTTTCCGTCGATTGATTGGACCGAAGTTCTCGGTCTCAAGTTCTTGCGCAGATGCTTCGACGATGTTTGGGCATGTAGTTAGAAGTTAACTGTTAGATGGTGACTAGCAGTGGAATCCAGGATGCGCACTCCGTCCTACTTGGGACTCCTGGATTCCACTGATAATCACCATCCACCAAGTAACTTCTAACTGCATTTCAGACATCGTCGAAGCAGCTGCACAAGAAGCCGGCATGTCAAACTGAGAACGAGCACTTTAGTCCTATCAATTGACGGGAAAATCTAAAGTTGAATTCAATAATTAATATGACCCGCTGCACAAGAGATGGCTGTCGTGGCCCAAGTAGTCTAGTGGATAACGCTTTGGCTGGGATTTGAAACTGTGGGCACTGAATTCGAGCCTCGGTGGGGACATCATCACTTACTCATTGCGGAATCCAGGTGCATCCAGACGGCGAGTGAGTCCCAAATAAGACGAAATGCGCTTTCTCTTGGATTCCACTGCTAGTCACCATCCACCAATTAACATGTATTTTTTCCTTCACGTTTTTACGAGTTGATCACGGATTTATATCAGTTAGAGAACCATTGAAAACCAGCCACAGGGAGTACTGAACAGCCAGATGTTTCATCCTAGGTTTTGGGAATCATCAGCAGTACACACCCACTGCCAGGGTTCAAACCCAAGACCTTCTGGTTTTAAGCAAAGCTCGTATACCATTCAGCCACTGGGACCTGATTCCATGGCTCATGAATTCTAACTTCCACCAATTTGTGATTTAGCGCGACATCAACCATTGTCGTTGGTGGGACATCCCTCCTCACACGTGACATCTTATTGGACTAAACTGGTCACAACTTCTCATCAGAACTGACTCCAGGAAACTACATCCTGTAGCAAGTCACTAGCGAGAATCAGATTAATTTTCTATAGTTTGATTTGTAAGGGTTAGTTATGTTTTTACGAGTTGATCACGGATTGATATCAGTTAGAGAACCATGTTCCTAGTGGAACATAGGGTTTCAAGCTAGAGGTTTGAAGTTTCTGTAGTAGTGTTTATTTTTACAAGATGAGATTGCTAACCAGCCTTATGCCCAACCTTTCCTTTTTACCAGCTTTATTTCTGCCTTGGCGAGGTAAAGGAGTGCGTTGTCGACCGGGGATCGAACCCCGGACCATGTGCATGGTCGGCGAGCATCCTAACCTCTCTGTGCCACGACCTATTAACATGCATGACATAGTTTATTTTCAAGAGTTAGTTTGTGTGGATTCGATCTGTTTCAAGTTTGATCACGGATCCATACAGCGTAGAGAACCATTGGAAACCAACAGGAAGTACTAGACAGTTATCTGATTCTACTTTTGGTTAGTTGTCACGCTAAACTGACGATTTGGTAGAAACTGGAATTCATGGGCCATTGGATCGGGTCTCCGTGGTTGTTGAATCGTCTGAGAGTTTGTTGTGTAACCGGAGTGTCTTGGGTTTGGAATCCCACCAACTTTCAAGATATTTTCTCAATAGTCATCTAACTGCCAACTTATTATAGCACAGCGCCAATCAATTATAAATATCTGAATTTTTTTTTATCATCAGACGAAGTGATGATTTAGTTCAATATCAGTTAGCTAAATAGTGTAGGTACTTTTGTTTTATTTGTAACCGATTTCCGTTATAAATTCTTCCAACTTTTAACTTTTATTTTTAAAAATAAAAAAAATAATATTAAAATATTTGCCTGACTGAAAATGATTTAAAAAGAAAATTTTGTAATGATTGCCTCACGCATGTGTTCACACTCTCTCTCTCTCTCTCACACACACACACTTACATTATACAATATATGTGTACGTGTGTTGTATTCACATTTTTGTCTTCTGTAGTAATGAGTTGTCATCAATAAGACACATGATAATATTCAATATTGATTTTTTTTTCATCAGTAGCTGAAATATATATCAGTTAGAGAGTCATTGATAACTCTTTGGTTTTCAAAGTTTCTCTAACTGATATTAATCCGTGGTCAAACTCGTAAAAACAAATACACCGGTGAAAATTAATCTGATGCTCGCTAGTGAGTGACTTGCTACAGGATGGAGTTTCCTGGAGTCAGTTCTAGTGAGAAGTCGTCACCAGTGAGATCCATCCAGTTGAAAGTGAGGATGCAATTCTTACCGATGACATTAGTCGGCGTTCACGCTAAAATCACGAATTGCTAGAAGTTAGAATCCATGGGCTGGTCATTGAGGAGTCGGGTCCCAGTGTCTGAATGATATACATGCTTACTAGCCTCGTAACGGGGGAACTATTCACTTTGTTATTTGTTCTTTTTTTCAATAATACACGAATTAGGGTTATTCATGAAGTATAGAATGATTGCCTTCAAGGCGGTTCGGTGTTGAATCATTTCAAATGAGAATTAAAATACGTCTTCATTATCAAGTGCTGGTTTGCAGGGATTCAAATGAGCACAGGTTTGATCGGAAGTTGGTGTATCATTTAGCGAGCCATTGGAAAATCAGGGAGTACTAGATACCTCTTTCGTCCTGATTTGGGACTCTTCACCACGTCTCTCTGGGGTTTTTGGAACTAGCATCATCCGGACACAAGGCGAATTTCTGGACCATTAGGCAACTATATTTCAAGATCAGTGGTGCCCTCCACTCCCCTGAGATCGTTATTATTTTACCTTGTCTGTGGTTACTAGATTCCCAAAATTGATCTATAATTTCTTTTACATTTAAAAAAACATATTGTTTGTACTTGGCCGATAAGGTGTGTATGATTTATCATACTGCATAGATTTCAATATTTTTCACTTTATTTAAAAATAACAACATGGGATTCGAATCCAGGACCTTCCGTTACAAGGCGAGCAAGCTCGTAGACCATTAAGTCATCGGCAGCAAGGCTATGAATTCTATCTTCTACCAAATTCGTGATTTAAGCCTAACTGGCACCAGCCAATGTCTTCCGTGGCGGGCATTTGTCTTCACTCCGGACAGAATGGATCCCACTGGTCATGAATTCTCACTGGAACACCAAAAAACTCCATTCTGTAGCCAGTTATTAGCAAGCATCAGATTAATTTTCAAAAATTAGTTTATAGAGATTCTATTTGTTTCAGGTTAGACCACAGATCGATATCAGTTAGAGAACCATTGAAAACCACGGAGTGCTTACAGGTGGTTCCTGTCGGGAGTGAGGACAAATGCTCACATTAGCTGATGGCACTCAAGCTAAAATCACGAATTGGTAGAAGTTAGAATTCATGGGTTGGCCATTGAGGAGTCGGATCTCAGTGGTTGAATTGTCTACGAGCTCTCTAGCCTTGTAACCAGCTGGTCCTTGGTTCGAACCTGGTAGCGGGTGCGCACTGCTGATGATTCGCAAACTTGGCTAATGAAACAGCTGTCCAGTACTCCAATGGCGGTTTTCGATGGTTCTCTAACTGATATCAATCCGTGGTCGATTTCGACAAACGGCATATCCTGAATAGTAGCTCTATTCCATCCTAATTTGTGACACTTAAGCCCGTGTACACCATCCAGGTGATCAGATCAGTCCTTTTGATCACTGGGAAGAAGAATACCGAATTAGACAGAAACAACCGTTCATCAGTAATTGTCCTTCCTTAGTTATCAATGATTGTCTCTAGCAGCTGTTGTGTCGTTCAGTTCTTGATAACACAAACTCAACCTCTTATACAGTCTGTCTAGCAAGCACTACTGGTTGATGACAGAGAGATATTCAACTACTCAGTCAATCGATAAATCAATCAGTCAATCAGTCAACAGTAAATAGCATCATTCAATTGTATTTACTTTCTTAATTTTCATTTACGATATGAGACATATATCACATAGTCTAATTTATCTAACAGCTTCCAAAGGAAACCGTGAAAAAAAAAATTTCCACCTTGAAATTAGTTTTCCTCAATCTACTGATGGTATACTTCTTCTTATTATTATTATTATTATTTTCTCTGTGTTTTACAGCATTGTAGCCAGACGAATTTAAGCGTTGTCAATTCAACAAATTTATTTAGTAACCAGTTCATCCCACCTGCTCCATGTCCACCGATTCCTATGAATCAACAGTCGATTGTATATACAAATATTCCAATGGCTGGTTTATCGCCTCAATTCCCTATACCTTTGGTAAGTTTATATACTGTCTGTATTGTATGTATTTTGTATGATAGGATATTTTTGCTGCCTAGGGCGAATTATGCGTTACTAACCGTTTATTGTTACTTCTTCTCCAGGATCTACAGTTATAAATCCACAATTTATTATTATTCTTTTTTTATTTTTATTGTTTCCTTTAATTCCTAGAGGAACCGCACATCTCCATTGTGTTCGGTCCTCCGCTAACGTTTTCATCACTTGACTCCATATCTGCCCAGTCGCTTTCATCTCCTCCTCTTCACACGACCTCCTCCATGTCACTCTCGCACTGGCGACCAACTCGCTGCTTCCCATTAGTCGGGTTTCACTCCAGCGATGGCTTGAAGTATGATCTCACCCACTTGATGGTTTTTTTTCTCAGAGCATGGCTACAATCCACCTCCATTTCTTCCTGCATATTTCTTGCACAGTTGGTTCCAGCTGGATTGGTTCAATCCCAGAGATCCATGTTGATGATCTTTTCTGCCCGGCCATCTGATATTGAGTTGAGTTGAGCGAAGACAGCTGTCGGTGAAGGTCTGTAGTTTTTTTCGAAGTGGCCTTCGTGACACGGCCCAGCGCCAAGTCTCTGATCCATATATAGTATAGCACTGAATTCACCGGTGACTGAACCCAGGACTTTCTGGTTACTACAAGGCGAGCTTATCGACTGTTCAACCAATGGGAGCAAATTCAATGGCCAGTCTATGAATTCTAACTTCTATCATTTTGTGATTTTAGCCTGACCACAAACCAATGTCATCGGCGGCGATTATTTTTCTCACTCCAAAATACATTTTGAAAAGTATTTTTATTCCTTTACGTTCCAGTGGAACATAGGGCAGCTTCAAGCTAGAGACTTGAGGTTTCTGTAGCACTGGTGATTATTTTTACAGGATAGGACTGCTAGTCTCACGCCCAACCTCCCCTCTTTACCAGTTTTACTACTGGCTTAGTGAGCCAAAGGAGTGCGTCTGTAGCCGGGCATCAGACCCCGGACCATGTGCATAGTCGGCGAACGTCCTGACTCTTGTGCCACGACGCACGGTCAAACATATGGGTCCAACTAATTAAGGCGAAAATCAAAACTGAACTGAAAAGAATAACTAAGTAATTTGGAGTTATCTAGTGGATAGTGACTAGCAGTAGAATCCAGGATGTGAATTTCCTCCTATTTGGAACTCGTCACCTCGAAGTAAGTGATGGTGTTCCCAGTGCCCATAGTTTCAAACACCAAAGCGTTATCCACTAGACCACTTAGGCCATTAGAGCGACCTCTTGTGCTATTGAATTAAATAAGTGAGTAATTGTTCATACATTCTATATTATTATTATTATTATTGTGAGTCGTGTTAGTTGTAAAGCAATCGTAAAGGAACTGCGAAATGAAGATATCTTCTCGCGACAGCTATCCTGTTCAATGCCTTATTTAAATTTATCAAGGAGGCTAAATGTTTCAACTTTATTTATTATCATCTTTCTGTTTTTTTTTGCGTTTTCTTCCATTCCTTTAGGACAACAATATGAATCAAGGTTTACCGAATGTGTACAGAGAAAGATTTGATTCGATAGCATCACAAAATAGTAATAACATGGAAATTTTAGATAGTCTTAAATTTCGTGCAGCTAATCAAACTGGTGACTGTGAAAAAGGCTACTACGAAGGGATAACAGGCACAACAGCCATACCACAGCCACTGCCGCCGCCGACAACAACAGCGACAGCAAATGCTGTCAATATACAACAACAACAACCACCGCTTCCTGAAGATATTTCCGATTTCGGTGGTGATATTGACATCGACGGGGATGATCTAGGCGTCGGGATAGATGATGGGGATGATGTGGATGTGGGTGTGGATGTGGATGGTTGTGACGAATTAAATGATGATTGTGGTGTTGACGAAGATGATGACGACGATAATAACGCTGATTTAATTGACGGCCAGTTGAATCATCAAAGTACTCTATGTCCAAAGTGTTTTCAACATTGTAATCGAATCTGTCAGAATATATTCTATTGTTGTTCAGCATGGAGTCCTCTTGGTGCATTTATGCAAGATTTATTATCACCGAAATTATTGTTAAGTCCAACATTTCTATTCTTTCTTTTCTCAAGTATGACAGCTATGCTAGGTAAGTGTTTGTTTAGACAAATGAAACAGTAGTATATATATATTTTTTTAAAAACTGGTCAGGTTTCAAATGCCACCCAAAGCGTTATCCACTAGGTTACTTGGGCCACGAGAGCCACCTCCTGTGCAATGGGTCGTATTAATTATTTAATTCAATTTCAGATTTTCTCGTCGATTGAATTAAATAATTAATATGACCCGTTGCACAAGAAGTGATGGCTCTCATAGCCCAAGTGGTTTGACGTTTGAAACTATGGGTACTGGATTCGAGCCTCGGTGCGGGGAACATCATCAATTACTCACTGTGGAATGCAGGTACATCCCAAATGGGACGAAATGCGCATTCTAGTGGATTTCACTCCTAGTCACCATCCACCAATCGCCTTCTAATTACATGCCCAGACATCGTCGAAGCATCCGCACAAGAAGCCGACATGTCCACCTGTCCCATGATACCTGTAACCTTTCATTTCTTTCTCCTTCACGTCTCCCCCTCGCAAGTGATGCCTAACTCGTTGTTTCTCATTCGAGTCCCACTCGAGGGTCTGTCTGTGTGTATGATGTCACTCAAAAGTCCCTTCAGCGTTTGTCTGACCTATCTCTAATTCCTTAAGCGATAGGCATTTTGTTGTTTCAATACCCGAACTTCTTGTTACTAATCCTTTACGGATAGCTGTCTCATCTTTAGTATGGAGCCAGTCATGACAGTTGTTGATACAAGTCTTCAGGAGGCTGTTAGAAATGCTTTTTGATCAGATATCAAGTCACGGAACAATAGATAAATGGCACTTACCGATTTCACAGTGTTGAAAATCCGTATTTTTTTCTATGTGCTTCATGAAGTAGATTTCCCAAACTCATTCTTATTCCTTATTTTGTTTGTTTTGTTGTCTTTTCTTTGAAAAATATTTTCATAGGTTTGGTTATTCCCTTTCTAATGTTACCCGATTTATTATCTGAAATGAATTGGAAGCTAGAAGATTCTGGTTTTATCATATCTTCGATTGGTGCAGGGAATACATTCGGACGATTATTTGCTAGTAAGTTTTATTTTATTTTGTCATTTTTTTTGTCGAAATAATTCTTCTCTCAAATTGATTGATCACTGGACTTCAGGTGATAGCTGTCCTGGTTCGAATCCCGTTCCGCATACTTCAATCTACCGTAGGCAAACTGGGTATTTTCTCATTACTCCACTAGGGTTTTGGTCAGTGTCATGCATAGCATATCTAGTTCTTAGGATTGACTCTGACTTTTTATGCAGTTAATATCATAATAATTGAGAATATGAAGCCGATATATTCCTCCATCCATCCATCCATCTAAACCCTTTGAATATGCGAAAAATGATGTCACATGCCCTACTGTACTTACCACTTTGAATGTACGTGTGGACACATATACACGGGAGGGAGGACTCATCGATCTCTGTAAGTAAGGGCTGGCTTCAGAAGCAAACAGAATGCCCACAACCCACTAACGGTGAGAACAGACGACGACTTAGCTCCTCTATTGCGAAACATATTATAGAGGAGACAGGACATAAAATTGATGTTTACACACGTCTTTTAAACCTATCTATAAAACGTGTTTGCCGAATGGCGTATCCTAAATTTTGTGGAAGCCCTAAACGGTAATTAGGTAGTTTAAACCACCTTTATGCGTTCAAAGCAACAATTTGTCATCACACTAAACCTACCTTGCTTGGCAAACTTTGTTTTGATACCAGCCAGGGCAGATGTACTATTACCTCTGTTATTTGGTTTAATGGTCTTTATTGTATTTTGACCTTCAATAGTCCTTTTAACTTGACCTAAGTAGTCTATTTTCTAACGTCTTACCTCTTTATTATTTTCACATGTATGTATTCCTATGACAAGTCCTTGTGTGATCAGATTGTTCGAAATGTGTTGCACGAAATACAACATCACACGATTCAGACAGAAAAATTACATCTTCTTATTGCTTTATCTAAATTCATAAAGGGAACTAATTGTTTTAAATTGTTTTATTCCCTCCCTTACGCTGCCTTGATTACTATGTTGAATTAAATAATAATTGTATCAGTGTGAATTTGTGTATAAGAATGTGGTTGTATAGCTGTTTTTCAAAATGAAATCGCCGAAATGATAGTAACTATGGGAGTTTAACCACTGATTGATATCAGTTAGAGAACCATTGAAAACTAGCAGTGTAGTACTGGACAGCTGTTTCATCCTAGTTTGATAATCATCAGCAGTACATACCCACTGCCAGGGTTCAAACACAGGACCTCCCGATTACAAGGAAAGCTCGTATACTATTCAGCCACTGGGACCCGATTTCTCAATGCCAACCCATGAATTCTTACATCTACCAATTTGTGATTTTAACGCGACCGCCAACTGATATCATCGAATGAAAATCCATCCTCACTCCTGACTGGATGGAACTCACTGGTCACAACTGCTCACTGGAGCACCAGGCAACTTCATCCTGTAACAAGTCACTGGCGATCATCAGATTCATTTTCAACAGTTGGTGTGTTTAAGGATTTGATTTTATATTTTGAGTTTGACCACGGACTGATCGCTCTAAAATCACGAATTGGTAGAAGTTAGAATTCATGGGCTGACTATTTAATTGGGATCCCAGTGGCTCAGCTAGTTGCCTTTTAAACGGAAGGTCCTGAGTTCGAACTCTGGCAGTGTGTGAGCACTTCCGATGATCCCCAAACTAGACTGACAGAACAGCTGTCCAGTACTCCAGTGGTGGTTTTCACTGGTTCTCTAACTGATGTCAGTTCGTGGTCAAACTTGAAAAGCAAATCAAATCCTTACAAATTAACCCGTGAAAATAGTAGTTATCGTTTCCGAAGCTTCTTGTTCTTTTCTGTCCAGTTGAATATTGATAAAGTCAGTGTATTTTTTAACTGTTCAATGCCGATTCACTTGTACTGGATGAGAACAGTAAAACTACAGTTTACCTTAAATTAATGTTGTTTATGTTTTTTATAATTCTCATATTTAAATTTATGTTCTTTTTGTTCCTTTTTTTATTTCACATACAGCATTTTACATTGAAAAAGGTGAGTTTGATGAATATATTTGTTTAAATTTTAAACATTGCACGAGGTCATGTAGATAACCATTGAATGCCCTCAAGGAGTACTGGACAACTGTTTCGTCCTTCTTTGAAACTCTTCATCGATATGCGCACACTGGGGTCCCGTAGTGACTGACTGGCTACTGGACAGAGTTGCCTGAAGTTCTAGTGAAACGTCGTGATCAGTTAATACGGTCCACCAGGTCGAGTGTGAGTACATACTCGTCGAAGACATTGACTTGTGGTCGTGAATTTGTAGAAAGTGGAATTCATAGGCCATTGAATAGGCTTTCGGTGACTGAATGGTTTACGAATTTACCTTGTAACCTGAAGGTCTTGGGTTTGAACTTCGGTCGGATCCTGCTGTTAAATAGTTTCAAACTAAAACGGAATGGCTGTTGATTTGGCTGCAGGTAGTTGGTGGACTTGGAACTCGTGCTTGTTGTGGCACTCATCAATCAGTAAGGCGTATATCTCTGCAATCTTCAAAGAACTCATGTCCCTACTGAGATTCAACTAGTGTCAGTAAGTGTTGCAGTCAGAGACGTTACCCCTGAGTTATTGACCTCCTGAAGGCATGTATGAGACACTTTGATTGAATTCTAGGTAGTAAGTAACCACTGTGTTCTGAAAGAAGCAGTTATCAGTCTTTCTTGCTCTGATGATTGGGTGGTTTCAGCCTCTCTTTCATTTGATCACGTAATCCTTAGCTTTAACCTCACCCCCTTTTTGGTATAGCGTAATTTTGCTTTCCTCTTGTTTCTATGATTCGAGATGAACTCATTACATGGTTGTTACCAAACGTGTTGTTTCAGACATTGAAATTTCGTTAGCAGTACAGTTGTTTTGTTTATGAGAAGGGAATTGTTAGCCTTGCGTCTAACCTTCCTTTTTGTAATCCGGGGCCACTAGCAGATAATAAACTAAGCGAGATTTAGGATTGCATTAGCGCGAATCGAACTTGGACAACCTTTTCGCCTCACTGATATACTATCATTCAACCAGGGATACTTAGAAATCCCTCAATAATAATTAAAATCAAGAAAACACTCTACCTACTTATGAGTAGTTAAATTTAATTTTGCGAAATTATCAAAGTAAGGATAGACCACAAATAGAAAAGATAGCTTCTGTACCAAAGAAAGCTATCTTTATTACCTTACTATTCAAGGGTGACCAGATTATGCGGTTAACAGCTCAAAGAATTTGTCAGCCATCAAATGCATATTCTCTCCCGTATCTTTCTCCCTCACATTTGGAATACTTTCGATCCCTATACCTACGATTAAAGGATGAAATTCTGTGGGCTCTACTTCAAACTGTATCTACAAGTTCACCTGCAGTTGCGGGGACACATACATTATCGCTTCCTTTAGTTCATAGAGGAACATATGGCTTCAGCCGCACGTGTCCATTGCGTTCGGTTCTCTGCCAACGTTTTCACCTAGGTCCACGTCTGCCCACATGCTTTCGTCTCCTCTTCACATGACCTCCTCCGTGTCACTCTCACACTGATGACCAACTCGCCACTTCTCATTTCGGGTACCACCCGAGCGATATCCTGGTGTGGGATGTCACTCATTTGATGGTTTGTTTCCTCAGAGTATGGCAATAATCCACCTCTATTTCTTCCCTCATATTTGTTGCACAATTGGCTCTTACTTGGTGGTTCGATCCCAGTGATCCCTGTTGTTGATCTTTTCTGACCGGCCATCTGATCTTGACTGGTATTGAGCGAAGACAGCTGTTGATGAAGGTCTGTAGTTTGTTCAAAGTGGGCCTCGTGACATGGCTCCAGGTCTCTGGTCGGTGTTGTCTGTTGTTGTTGCTGTTTCTGTTGGCCAGGAATCTTCATCACCTCTGTTTTCTCTATGTGGATTTGAAGTGAAGTCCTATTTTGATGCTTCTTCTGCCAACTTGTTGCTTTCCACTCGCATATCTTCCATTTTGGGGGAAATCAGACATATATCATTAGCAAAATCCAGATCCTCCAAGTTTTTTGTGTGGATCCATTTTATACTGTTTCCTCTCTGCCTGCTTTCTGTCGCATTATCCAGTCTACTGCAATCAGGAAAATCATTGCAGGCAGTATGCAGCCAGCTTATCTTACTCCCGTCTTCACTTCTAAGGATTCCTTGAGTTTCCCATTGTGAATTACTTGGCATGCAGCATTGTCGTACAACTGTTTGATGAGATGTATAATTGTCGGCGGCACCCCATAGTAGCGAAGTAGTTTCCAAATCACCTCCCCATCGACGCTGTCGAAGGCCTTTTCAAAGTCGATGAAGTTGAGATAGAGAGGTGGCTACCATTCCAAGCTTTGTTCAATGATGATCCATAGTGTGGCGATTTGATCAATACATGAATTGTTTCTCCTAAATCCAGCCTGTTCCGGTCTAAGTTTTTCATCCAGGGTAGCGTGTTTGATTCTCTCCAGGATGATGCGGCTTAGTTTTTTGCTTGGGATGGAGAGAAGCATAATGCCGCCACAGGTATATAGGTAGAACCAATAGAATGTTTCCATGTCGTCGAAAAGCATGTTCCAAAAAGAGCATGTTCCAAAATGGTTATTAAAACATAGAGAAAATCCCAATGCGATTAATCTGAATAGAAATCCATCACCATCATCATCCATTGCAAAACACTTATTAATGTGTCAGGTCACAAAATCAATATTAATGACTGATTCACAATTATTTCACTCCATAACTCTAATTCAAGGTCATTGAAGGTGATGGAAGCACTTTAGACTAATCACATACACCCTTAACTATAAGTACAAAGAACAATAGACATCAACCTTCACCTACCATGGACTAATTGACCTATTTGAATATGATTGGTCATTAGTATGTACTTTTGTTTTATATAACTGAGTGATTGTCATGCATTTTACTTTATTTTATTATTGTTAACCATGTTAGTTGTAAAGCGGTTATAAAGAAACTACGAAATGAAGATATCATCTTGCGAAAATTGTCTTCTAAATGACTTATTCAAATTCACCAAAGGGACTAACTGTCTTAAATGAAATTTTCTCTATAAATTTTTTTATTCTTAGCTTGGTCAACAACCTATAAATGGGCTGATTCTTTATGGATGAATAATATCTCTTTACTTTTAACCAGTATAACAGTATTTACTCTGCCAACTATACGACGATATTATACTGCTGTAGTTCTAGTCTCCTGTGGTTTTGGATTATTTTCAGGTAAGCTATATCTCCGCTTAATATGCAGACCATAAAAAATATCGAATGACATATATGTGGTAATGGTGGCGATGGCACGGTGTAAAATATGAGCAATATCGTTAGCTTAAATGGATATATGTATATACACCTTCCCTGTGGGGCTTGAACTTAGAACATATCGTTTCAAATACCGAAGCCCGTGTCCACTAGACCTGTGGCAACGCTATTATTATTCACTAATGTTACAGGTATATCCAGATGACGAGTCAAAAAAAATAGGACGAAACTCATTTCCTGAATATTTCTGCCAACTGCCTTTAGAAAAATTAACTTCGATTCACTATTCTTAGCATTATCGAGGCTTCTGTTCAAAGAGCTTGTAAGAGCGCACGGCAATAGAACTGTAGCTGCGCAAACTTCGTCTGATAACTACGATGATGACGAATGTATAATTTAGTTGACCACCTAATAATGCATAGTTCTACTCACTTTGATGTGGTTGTGTTCTCTGAGCTGGATGGTTAATTTGCGAAGCTTTCATCGCCCTACTAGACAACATCTTCAGCTCATAATTCAAATTCTTATACAATAAGTAATATTTATTGATCACCACGTTTTGAGGACCATTTATTACCGCTCATAACCATATCAAGGCATTACTCACATAAGTAATGGTGAAACTAATAATGATAACATAAATAAAAAGGGCAAAGTTAAACTTTCGACACCACTAACAACCAATCAGCAAACGACTTTGAACGGACTAATCACATTAAAGAGGTATATATGATGAATGGAAATGTATATTTATAGAAAAAATGCATAAAATAGATAATAAAAAAGTTACATGGGATATCTTTCTCGAACATGTGAGAGAAACATCTCCCAGTTTAGCATGGGACGGTCAATGGAGAAGTTACACTACATCCTGTACATATATTCGTCTAAATGACTATAAATGAGATCCTTTTGAGATCCATTTATAGCCCTTATCCTATTTTTCAATCTGCCCCAAAACCCTTTCTTTTTTACCAGCACTGTTTCATCGACATGCACGATAACGTCTTCTCCACCCAGCAAACAAGTGATTTTCTTCATTTTCCATGATGCGATGTCTCTGCAATACTGGTACCACTGAACTGTTGAGACGAGGCTATTCTCCGTCTCGGCAGCTGCTGCTCTCACCAGCTGTTTCAACACCCACTAGTTGCAGATATACAAAATCTGGGTTAGGGGAAGATGCGACCTAGCGAAAAACATTCCTACGAAATATTAAAATTATCAGCTTACCCTCTCTAATGCTAGCACGCTTCAAACATATAGCACAACGATGAACAAATCCATCAGTTGATCTGCTATAGCTTTTTAAAGTCATGATACCACCACACGAACAAGTGTGCTCCTTCCGGAGCAACCCTAAATCTGGGCAATACTGGAAAACACTATCCTCCTCGAATTGCAACTGTAACCTTGTAAGGCCACGCATTTGAAATGAATCAAGCGCTATACAACATTGAACTACGTTCGTGAGCCTCATTGGATAATTCGACATCGTTCGTGAATCTCATTGGATAATTCGCTGATTGGTAGTTAGTGGTGTCGAAAGTTTAACTTCGCCTTATTCCAATATCTAATCAGTTCCACACACGTATATAAATGAAGGAAAACGTTGTGTGAGTAGTGTCTTGATATGATTATAAGCGGTAATCAATTATGCTCGAAACATTGTCATCAGTTAATATTATCGTATAACAACACTGTGTGTGAGTCATCAAAATAAAATCTGATCCATAATGGAGTGATTAATTGATGCATAGCCTCGAACAGTGAAAAATCTATCCCAGGTAACTGAATTCAAATAAAACCGAAACCTTTGGTCAGTTTGTGGCACAGTTATTAATATCCTTATTTTGATTGGACACTAGTGACTAGTGTGATGAGTCTAGTCCTTTCTTCGCTGCAGACTGAATTCTATCAGTCAGGTTTGTAATGTGACCACCATTCTAGGTAGCGCACCATCATGATGCACATTGATTTGATGATATTAGATGGTTGAAGGCGAGATCGAATAGCTCGGTGGTAACGTCTCTGACTGCAGCACACTGGGTGACGCGGGTTCGAATCTCAGACAGGGGACATGAGTTCCTTCAAGGCAGTTGCAGATACGCCTTGCTGACTACCGGTGAGTGCCATCTAGCACGAAACCTAGGTCTAGTCAAGGCTTCCTGTGGCCGATCGCCTTCAACCATCTAATATCATCAAATTAATATGCTTATTAAGAGATCTAATAGCTCTTCCATTCATTATAGATGTAATTGTATATTTGACGATTTATTCCGAGATTGTCATGCTCCTCTAATTTGTGTGTCTATCCCACTTTAAAATCAATCGATATTTTTCAGGAAGCCTATTGTGTAATCTTAATTACTTTTATCGCCTGTATATATGTTTATACTATTGATTTTATTGTTTTTTTTGTTACTGTGTATCAAAAATTTACAGCTGTATTTGTATCACTGAAAAGTATTCTAGTCGTTGAATTAATTGGAATTGATCGTTTGACTAACGCCTTCGGTTACCTGTTGTTATTTCAAGGCTGTGCAGCTGCTATCGGTCCACCAGTTGCAGGTGAGTACAGTGATGATGGATGATATATTCACGTGAAAACCTCGAAAGGTTATTTTAATGCCTTTTTAAATCATGTATTGTTAGTTCCTCCAAGATGAATGAGTTGATATTTTCATTCCTATGCATTCAGAGTGAAAAATATGGAGGGTTTTAATCCCTATGGTATTAATTTTACACCCCACGCCGAACATTTCGACCCTACGGGGCTTACTGTGGGCTACACAAGGTTGAGGTGTGGTCTGTTGGTGGGAAATCGAACCTGGACCACGTGAGACGTGGTTGGCGGCAAATGGGTTGAATAAGAAGGTTTTTATTGATTCATGAATAATCCCCCACCCAGATATCTGAATGAAAACAAAACGCGTAGTTCGACGAATTTATTTTGCTTAAGCTGTTTATGAAAAAGGGTAATAATAAAAGTGGTGAGTTGTCGTAATCATAGCTGATAATTAGTATTATAGTTGCGTAATAGGATGAGTAATTGAATGGACTGTAATCAGGATTCACATAGAAATGAAGGAAATTATGTAGGAATTCTGTAGGAGTTCTAAAGAAAGACACGAAAATCAAGCGAACAAAAATCAAGTCAGTAGAAACCAACATGGTTGTTACCATGATGATAGTAGAAGTGGTTGAATAATTTTCTTTTTATATGCAAAACTCCCAATTTCTCTATCTGAATGGTTAAAGCTTCAACGATGCAAAGGAGATAGCAAAGCTTATCATCTTTGCTGGCTTGTTCTTCACTTTACAGATCACTTTGAAGGAGAGGTGATTGTTTAGATGAAATGAGCCAAGTTAAACTTTAAGCACCACTAACCAAACTACCAAGGGAGTGCGACCGCACCAAATGACCTTGAAACACTCACTGAGCAAGTTAGTGAAACCTGGCAAATAATATTGTCATCACCAATAAAACATGCTCATCGAAGTGTTAGGTTATTAAATGGGATTCCTAGCAAGTTTCAGCTTAGGTTTGGGAAAGATTAAGTTTTCGCTTTAAACCAAGGACAAGTTAGGGCAAGTTAGGTTAACCTAACGAGGGAGATATTAGGGGCGGTTGGAGTTAGATTAGGGTTAGTTTAGGCATATTTTCACGTTAGGGCTAGGCTAAGGAAAGATTAGGGTTATTCTTAGGGTTAAAATACGTAAATAATTGCGTACGTAGAATGTGGTTAAATTACTCTGTTGATATAAGAAAAGAACTTGTGCACGGTGGTAGCTACCGTAGAGTATAATTTCATTGTGGGTAAAATCTATCTTGATAAATTCTGACAATATTATACAGTAACATTTACTGATGACAACGTTTCGAGTACCTTCAAAGCCTCAGGATGGTCGGGGGTGGGTGTCTTGCGCTACGGGTTAGCCCCCCCCCCGTACACCTTGAAATGCTCCCATATGACCGGGCTTCTTACATAGCCTCTCCTGAGGAAGTCCTACTCACTCCCTTCACTTGGCGGAGGTGTTTATTTCACCGAAGTGAGTGGGCGAAAGCGGATGCCCGGCACTCATCACCGGGTTGACTGTCCATTGGATGACAGTCTAGGGGAGATGACTAAACCCTGATTCCAAACCTTCAACGACTGGCCTATGAAGCTCACCGGAGTTCACCGGCAGACGTATGGACAAAGGGCTTATTGGATGCCCTGGATGTCTGGCCCCATTCAAAAAGGCGTATGAACCAGACTCCGGTCACCGGTTGCCAATGGATAGTGGACTCCTTACTCCACTCCTACTGCGTTGTAGGTCACACTTGGTTGTGTAAAGGCTAGAGCTGTACTCTCAAACAAAAGGCCGAGCGATGCTGGGGACATCACTCGTACCCAATTCCCATGAAACTTCATCAACTCTCTTACAAACATTCGAGATGTTCATGAAGCCGGTTCATCCTCCCGTAGGAGATAGCCGAAGTAAAGTAAGTAAGTTTCGAGTACAGTTTATTGCCCAGTAAATATTACTGTATAATACCGTGAGACGTTATCAAAATAAATTGTATCCACTCTGTTGATACTCCAACCTAAAATTAAGAGCTATTTTTTTTTAATGTGAGAGCAAGGTATCCTCTGTAACACTTTTATACAGTTTCTATGCATTTTTTTCATAAATATCTGTATTCCATACACAAAAATGCCTCCTTCTTGTGATTGGTGCTTTCGAAGCCATTCACTGATTAGCAGTTGGTGGTGCTTAAATTTTAACCTTTGGCGTGACATAGAGCCGCTACCACCACTAACTTTCTACACAACCATGCAGTAGGATAGGGTTTTTGAATCCTTTTAGACAAGCTAAGTGTTGAACGACCAGTATACCTTGTTCTACAAGAACAGGTGAACTGATAAATGCACATAGAAGTGGTCAGATGCTATATTTTGTCCTTGTGGCTTCTACAGATCAATAGACGACTAGAGGACACTACGCCTAGAGTGGCTACAAGGTATATTTTCCGCTAAGATGCTGAAATTCTTCTTTTAAGAATATCACAGGTTAGGTCTCTCCTGAAATTTCCGACTTGGTTTCAATAGATGGCACTGAAATTGAAAGCAAGTCGAAAATTAAATACCTAGGCGTCATTCTATCTGCTGATCTTTCCTGGTCGTCTCATATCTTGACGATTTCTAAGAAAATATTCAATCTTACCTTCTACATCAAGAAGTTAAGACATTCTGGTGTAACCCAACCCTTACTCCTACAATTTGTTAACTTCCGTATTCTCCCTATTATTCTCTATTGTTCCCTCTTAGTCTTTCCTGGGCTGTTGAAGAAAGACTATACATTATTAGGTAGGATGTTAAAGGTTGTCAGCAGGGTAAGCAGTTTGCCACTTAGCCAGCTTGTTAATATTCTGGTGGACAAGCGCATGGACTCATGTGAAAAATGGGCGAAATCCATTTTATCTGACTCACAACACCCATGTATCTCTTCAGGGAAAACCAGAAGCCTATCTAGGAAACTATATGCCCGCACTAGCAAGTACAAAAACTCATCCATACCCTACCTAGCTCGTGTTCTGTGCGAGCGATAAAGAAAGCATTAGGCGTGAAACCTTTAACTTATTAAATAGTCACTAGAACAAATGGATCTCGTCTTTCCGACTCACATCATTTACAGGCATAACGTTTTCTCTCTACCTTTTTTTGTTATGTGTTGTTTTGTTTCTCTTTTCCTTACAAACTCTACTTAAAACATTCTTGTTCGTTCTTTCACACTCTGTATATGTCGACCATTTTGCTATCGCTTACGCCAGTAAATATGCTAGTAGTATCTACTTTTCTAACACCTTCAAACACTTTCAATTTTGGCTTTGCTACCGACATGCTAATATGTTGTTGTCAAAAGTGACTGAGATAACTTTAATCTATGTAGAACTTTATTTATTGTTAACGTACTAACTGGATGCAATATTGTAGTAGAAATGCTGAGAATTCCATTCTGTATCACAAGTACTGTTTTGGAATAAAGCTATTATCTTATATATCTTAAATACAGGTTTCGTTTTTTATATAAAGGCGCTCAACTACAGAAGTTTGCGAGCTGTTCGTTCCATGTTAGTTTTCTGTGAATGAATCTTCTTGGTATTACATGGTTAGAGAGGCAATCGGCCACAGGAAGCCTTGACTAGACCTAGGTTTCGTGCTAGTTGGCACTCACGAGTCAACAAGGATTATCTGCAACTGCCTTGAAGGAACTCATGTCCCTTCTGTGATTCGAACCCGCGTCACCCAGTGTGCTGCAGTCAGAGATGCTACCACTAAGCTATTCAGGCTCACGATTGACCTCCTGTAGGACTCTAGTGGATATTTTTGATTACACACTAGACAGTAACTAGTGTCATGTATCGAATACCAACAATTCACAGTGCACCGTAATGGCGAGTCACCTAGTGGCATGGTGGCCACATTGCAAGCTTGACTGATAGAATTCAGTCTGCAGTGAAGATAGGACTAGACGCATTACACTACTAGTTACTGACTAGTGTGCAATCAAAAATAATGAATCTTCTCAATATCGTATCTTGTTCCCATCTTGTGAGTCGAATTCGGACTCCTTTTGTAATGGTGGCAGCTGTTGAAAAAGCCAGGATGTTTTTTTTTTCAAATTCTCTTCATTTTCAGAGGATATGAAATTATCATTCACGTATTTCTTGTAAAACCCAAGTTTTGTCAGTCATTTTCCTCAAGTATGTGTTTTCAAGCATCTACTTGAAGAAATCTGCAGGTACCGGGCCTAGTAAACAGATTGTCTTGCTACTTACCTGGTTATTTCTAGGAGTGGAGTCATGGGATCGAGTCCCACTTTATCTAGTTCAGCATGCGTAACTAGATAGTACTAATAAAATTCTGCTCCAGATAATTAAGCTTAGACAACAGTGGAATCCAGAAAACACATTTCGTTCATTTTTGCTGTCTTCAACTGAATTTACCTGAATTCCCAGTGAGTATTCCTATTGAGACTTGAAGTCGATGCACCCATCGTTTTAAATGTTAAAGCGTCAACAGAGACGGAGAATTTCAGTTCTGATAGTGGTGGACTGAATTATGCGTCAGGCCATGGGAATCGACAAGACAGGAATATTCAAGTATTGATTTGTAGGGATTTGATTGATTGGCATTGGTTAGAGAACCATTGAAAACCAGCCAGGGAGTAGTGGATAGATGTTTCGTCGGCCTAGTTTGGGACTCTTCAGCAGCAACATTGTCTAGCGGTTGCGCTATCTCGTGAGTTGGGCCATTAAATCGGGTCTATGAGCTCGCTAGCCTTGTAACTGGAATGTCCTGTGTTCAAACGCTGGCGGTGGGTGCGTACTGATGAAGAGTCCCAAACTAGGCTGGCGAAACAGCTGTCCAGTACCTCAGTGATGGTTTTCGAATGGTTCTTTGATCGATGTCAGCTCATGATGAAATCCTGTAACCAAACAGGAATATGTTAGACTGATAGGAATACTCTAGAAGATCTGGATTTCACGAATGATTTGGGTCCTATTTCACACAAACTCAAAG